AGGTTCCACCACCTTATAGTGCCAACCTTAGGGTCATGTAAGGTCTACACTATAAGAGAGGACGACCACCTATAACCCAGGGGAAGGGCAGGACTCAGAAGAAACCAACATTGGGTGATCAAGTCCCGAGATTGCACCTTACTTTTAGACTTCTGACCTCTAGGTCTGTGAGACAATGCATTGATGTTCTTTTAAATGTCCTATCTGTGGCTCTTTGTGACAGCTAAAGTGACGGAATCTGGGAAGCAGAAGCCAGAGGATGGCAGCAACAGCCAGGGATGAGTGAGGTTCTTTCCTGGTTGAGAATCCTCCGGACAAGCACAAAGCAAGTGCCCTGTAGGATTTGTGGGTGTAGGCACTAGAGATAACATAAACGTCACGGGATGAGTGGATGAGTTCGGTTCTGAGTGGCCTCAAGTCTGGAGCAAGCAGTATGTGTAGTCAACTGTCAGAACGTATGTAAGAGGACTTGGGTGTGAGTGTGTGGTGACGCTCTAAGCCCATCACTCATGCTTCCTCTCTGGGGAGCCTGACCAGGAGACCCCACAGGGAATGCAGCTGGACACAGGGATGAGGAAGTTGCCCTGAGCTGAAAGGAAGACAGAGCAAAGAGGTCTGTGAAAGTGTCACATCTAGATCTCAAAGCCCGGCAAGCCCATGTTGTGCATATATTTGTAGGTGTGAGGGTGTGTGGTGAGCACAAAAGCCCATGTGTGCCTGTATTGGTAGGTGTGAGAGTGTGTGTGTGCATGAAAGCCTGTGTGCTGGTAGGCTTGGGAGTGTGTATGCATGTGCATGGCATCCTGCTGCTCTGTGCTGACATTAACACGAGGCTTGGGCAGAGCACAGACCTACATAGCACAGGTCCACAGATGGTACATGTTCCCAGGGGTCTTTACATTCTCTGCAGGGATTTCTGGAATCTTCCAAGTGCAAACGAGGCAGTGTGAGCTAAGGCACTGTCATCCTCAGGAAAAGAGCAGGAGAGGTCTATGAGAATTGCGTAGGAGCTGGAGAGGTGGCTTAGCGGTTAAGAGCACCAGCTGCTCTTCCAGGGTCTCTGGGTTCCAATACTCAGCACCCACATGGCAGCTCACAACTGTTTGTAACTCCAGTTCCAACACCTTCACACAGGCATACATGCAGGCAAAACACCTGCATAAAATGCACATAAAATAAAATTTAAAAGAATTACCCAGAGCAGTGTCAAGTGAACTCAAGTCCTGTTCTTTCTTAGGGTCAAGAACACATTTACTAAAACTGTGCTGACTCAAGTTACTGCTGCTGAAGAGATTTAAGCAACACAGACATAGAATCTGGGTTTGCAGTTGCCTTACAACTATAAACCAACACATTTATACATTAAAGACACACAATTACAATAACAATAAAATTCAAGCTAGCAACATTAATTTTATATGATGGCTTGTGAAACTGAGCTGCCTCTTACATGAGGTTAGGGTTGACCATGGCAGAGAGCACTCTGGATTACTGGTGTCTCACCACCATGTTGTGGATAGTGGGGCTGTGACTCCCAGCAGGGAGCTGATGGGCTCCTTGTACCCAACTCTGTTGGCCGTCCTGTTGCTTTGACCTCTGTTACTTCCATAAGCCTTTTGGTCTGGAGTTACTCCAAGCTGGGTGTCTCCATTTCTGCATACAGACAATCGTAATCCTGCCTTAGCAAGTATGCACCACTGTGCCAAACATGGTAAGATGTCTCAGTCTTCTATTTCCAAGTTATCAGGAGGCTAAAATGGGAACTTTCTGATGACCAGGTCTTCATTTTAGATTTATAAAACCTAAGAGATCTATTGCGTGAAAATATCTCTGAAATTGGAGGGAGGATTATGTACTCAATGGCACCTTAAAATAACTGAACTATGAAAATTTGCATGGTATCTTAGATAACTACTGGATGATTGTACCCAACTATCAATCAAATAGAAGTGAGAATATCTTAAATAGTCTGTGAGCACTTGTGTGTGTGTGTGTGTGTGTGTGTGTGTGTGTGTGTGTGTGTGGTGTATTCATGAGTATATGTGTGTTTTGCATGTGTGTGGCACACACGTATGAAAGTGCACATGCATGTGTGTGTATATGTGAGTGGAGACTCAAGGGCAACATCCAGTGTCCTCCTCAGTCACTCTCTATTATATATCGAGGCAGGCCTTGTGCTGAACCTGAAGTTTATCTTTTCTCTCAGTTTGGTTAGTTAGCTTGCTCCAGGAATTTCCTGCCTCTGCCTCCCTTGGACTGGGATTACATGTGGGCTACCTCACCCTGACGGCTTTTACATGGGTTCTAGAAATCAGTATTCCAACCCTCAAGCTTACAAGGTAGGCCCCATACCCTCTGAGCCATCGTGTGTGTGTGTGTGTGTGTGTGTGTGTGTGTGTGTGTGTGTGTGATTATTTTAATTAAGATGAGATCCGCTATTGCCCAGGCTGTCTTTGAACTCAGACTCAAGCAATCCTCCTGCCTCAGCCTCCCAAGTAGCCAGGACTGTAGTACATGCCACCATTCCCATCATAAACAAATGTTCATTTCTAAATTTTATTTCAAAACACAACAAAACTTGCAACGTCAGTACAGTAAAGTCTTTGTGTTCTCCACCTAGTGTCTCATCTCCTCATTGGGCCTTTCTCTCCGTGTGTCTGTCTCTCTACAGCTATTTTAGAATATGTGTTACAGATGCGTATTATTTTTATATCATTTACTTGTTTGTTTAAGAGTAGTTTGTCAACATCATGTCTATTAAACCCAAACACTAAGTGCCAACATCAACACACTGTCTTCCGGAACCACATTTAGGAACTGGACTCATGTAATACAGAGTGTGTTCTGTCCGTGTACAACCTTTTCCAACACTATCAGTAATAACCTTTTTTTGGAAATTATTTTCTGGCCCACCATGCACCGAGTCTTTTTACCTGCCTCTATCTTGTGCAATTTCTGTATCTTTTTGCTCAGCGAGTGTTTTATTCTTCGAAAGCCCAAGGACTGGTCTGAGGGCTTAGTGTATCTGAGAACTGACAGTCAGTTGTAAGGCACAGTGTGCTCAGTTACATAGGCGGCCTGTCTCATTCCTACACGCCTTCTAATCCCCTGCCTCTCGAGCCTTTGACTCTGGGGCTCCCTTTTCTGCCTCCTGGGAACCGACCCAGACTGTTGTATCCAGTTAGCCTGCAGAGTCCTTGGCGCCAGTGACACTTGCTGCTAAGGGCATTGTTGTAGTCTGAGTACGAAATGTCCCCGACAGGGAAGTGTTGAAACCCAGGTCCCAGCTGGTGGGCCTATTTTAGCACGTGATGGTAATGTCCCGATCTCTGCATATGAGTGCATGGACACATGCATCCACACACACACTCAACATGCATGTAACATACATACCTATATACAAAGAAAAGAAAAGAAAAATCATGTGGTCCATAGAATCCTGTACGTGTCTTGAGTCCACTTTGTATCTTAGTTTATGCAACCCTGGGGCCTTATAGATGGGATGGAATAGATCACTGGCTCATTCATGCATACAAAGTAGTTCCTGTGCTGTTTTCTGGAAGCCTTGGAGGGATGTTTGCATTCGTGAACTGTAGGACTCAGTTTGACCCTGAACTTTGCCCCAGCACCATTGTGTGTGTGTGTGTGCGCGCGCGCGCGCGCGCTACTAAAGATCAAACTTGAGGTCCTACACGTGCTTGGCAAGCATTTAATCACTGAGTTGTATCCCCACCTTTTTGGGGGTAGGAGTAAAGAGACAAGGTCTTGTTAAGTTGACCAGGCTGGCAATCCTCCAGCCTCAGCTTCCCCTGTAGTTGGGATTGCAGTCATGTGCCATTAGATCCGCTTGCCCTTACTTTTTATATATACACCAGAATAAAGAATCTGATCCCATTACAGGTGGTTGTGAGCCACCATGTGGTTGATGGGAATTGAACTCAGGACCTCTGGAAGAGCAATCAATGCTCTTAACCACTGAGCCATCTCTCCAGCCCCTTAGTCCTTACTTTTTGCCCTGGTGCCGACGCTCTGCTGCTTGTCTCCGCAACAGGGCCTGCTGGGCTTCCAAAGACCTGGCTCCGTAATGGACTGGGGTTTCCATCCTGACTGTCTGGGTTCAGTCCAGGCCCTGGGAAGCTCTGCTCCGTGGGGGGATCCCAAAGGAATCTAGCAGCCCGATGGCCTGACCAGCAAGAGTGGATGGTCTATCCTGGAGTTGCCCTGGCGTCAGTACCCACTGGCAGTACCTCTCTTGCCTCCCCCAGTCTTCCTCACACCCTTGAGTGGATGGATGGGAGGCTCTGCTTTCTCTTCTCCCACTCCTCCAGGCCTTCCTCTTCCCACTCCCCCACCCACCCCCGTGCGTGCTTCCAGGGACACAAAACGATTGCTGATGTTCACCATCAGGCGTTGGGTGCCAAATTTAACCTGATTTGGTACACACCACTAGGAGGGACTGGACAATTGCCCTGCAACAGAGCAACAAATGGAAGACACAGAGGGCTTTGGAAGTCCCAGGCCTGTTCAAACACCTGCAAAGCCAAGCCCAGGGACAGGGAGCCCTAAATGGCTATTCTTGCTACAGTTTCCAAACTTTCCAAGCTTTTAACTTTCCAAGGATCATCACCCAGCTCCCAGCTTCTTCTCCAAGTTCAAGGCAGAAATAGAGAACTTTCTCTCAACTGCTATAAGCCTCAGTGGGAGTGCCTGGGGAGTGAATGTGTGAAGTCCAGGGTCAGGGTTTGTGGTGCCTGGACCCCTCTTAGGAATAACCGTGTTGCGGGGCGGGCGGTCAACGTCCTCAGCTCTGGATGCCCTGAATCTCCCAGGTCACCTCAGTTTTCTCATCTGAGACATGGGCGTGGTGAAAGGGGACACCATGGGGCTGGCTGAGCCAGTTGATGGAGAGGCCGCTCCCCCAACCCTGGCGCGGACCCAGGGACCCAGCAGAGCTGGCCTGGGCTGTGGCAGGAGGCCGAGGGGCGGGCCAGGCCCGGCGGGCGGAGGCGTTCTCCCGGGTCACAGCGCCGGGCGGCGGCGGGAAGATGCGGCTGCGGCTCCTGGCGCTGGCGGCGGCCGTGTTGCTGGGTCCGGCTCCGGGTAAGGGCGGCGCGGCGGGCGGCTGCGCGGGAGGCCGGGGCTCGAGCGGGAGGGGAGGCCAGGGCTGCGCGGGGTCCTGGCGGCGCACCCCTCCCGGGCGATCGTGGCGGCGCAACAGCGCCGACCCAGGTCTCCGTGGTCGGTCCCCTAGTGCTGCCGGCGTCCCGCGGTGGGGACCCGCTCTCGGGACAGCTCCCGGTCCCTTCCGAACCGCAGGCCGCGGAGCGCAGGGAGAACCCAGTCGGATCGGAACCCCAAGTTGGCAGCTTTTTTCTGTCTTTCGTAGCAGTCAGGACCCGCGGCTGCTGCCAGCACCAACTTCCCTTTAAACTATCTTTGGAGACGTTCGCAAAATGAGGCCAGGAGCGACTGGACTGTCCCAGCCGGGGTGGGCACCGAGGACTGACTTTGAGTCTTCTGAGATGGTCAGACCTGGTTAGAGAGGGTGTCCTAGGCTTCACTGAGCAGGGTCCTTTCCCACAAACTTTCCCACACTGCTTGGGGGGCCACCTCTACTGGCTTACGTGGAGCTTTACGGTTCCCACTTAGAGTCGCTGAAGAACCTTCTCTTGGTTCCCCAGGACCATGCTGGCTAGAATAATAGTCACAGATACATTAGTGGCTCTCCTTTCCCAGGAGACTACCAGCAGCATTTCACAGTAAGAACCTCAAGTATTTATGGATCCAAGTACTTCGTAAAGCATCAGCGCAGTTTATCAGCCCACCAACCTTTGAGGGTTGTGCAGTTTTATCCCCATTTTAAAAATGAAGAACAGAGGCACAGACCTGACAAGCAGAATCTTTTAGATTCTGTCCTGGACGTACCTGGGGCCACCCCGCAGCTCCTGTTTGTGTGGCCCTCACCTTGGGCCTGTCATCCACTTTGAAATGCCTCCTCCTAGATTCCTCGCCTACATTTGCAAGGGGAAGCCCAGCATATCCTCTTTACATATAAACCTGTACTCCTAGTCTGTGCAGTCTTCCACCCCTATTTGGGGGGTAGAGTGGGAGTTTGTTCATCACCCAATCCTACCACTCACCTTACAGAAAACTGTCAGTCCAAGTGGTCACTAAATCCAGGCCGTGGTACAGAGTGGTGGTTACGATTTGCAGGCAGATCTCCCAGGTTTGAATTTCATCCTATGTGCTGTGTGAGCTTGAACAAATCGCTCAGCTTCTCTGGGCCACAGTTTTGGCTCTAAAATGAGAATTGGCAGCTAATGAAGATAAATTGAGGGAAAAAAACCCAACAACTTCTAATTGCCTTAGAACTGTGTTTGGCCTGAAGTTCACTTGAGCAGATGTCCACCTCTGTGTTTTTAGGTGACATTTTTGGCTCACAGTGAGTGCCATGTGGGCTAGGTCTAGAGGCCTCTCTGCTTGGTGCTGCTCAGCAGGCCCCGATGCTGCAAACGGAGCTAGGCAGTGTACGTCTTCAGAGATCTGCTGTCCTGAATCAGACATCCCTTTGCTGTCACTGAGGAGTTCCTGGCTCCTGGAAATGAGTGGAGTGTTTCTTTAGTCAGGGAGGAAGGCAGCCCATACATAGTGCCATGCCCACTCTCCTGGCCTGCTCGGGGCAGTGACTGCTTCTGCATCCCAGGAGAAGCCTTTGCTCCCTGCACCTGAGGGAGGGAGGCTGCTGCTCTGGGAGGAGACAGTGCCATCTGGAGCTCCGTGGATTTCCTCTCAGAGAGCTGTGTTCATCCCTTTCATGCCATCACCCAAACCCAAAGCAGTGGTTAGACTCCGAATCTTGTCCCCAGGAACCTGAGGTTCATGCAGAAGCATAAACTACAGTGTGACTTGTGGGATCCCGTGCAAAACAAAAATTGAGGGGCTCTTCTTCAAATAGAAACTTTCAAGCAATAATCGGTAAAGGCTAAAGCCAGCAGGCAGTCCTGTTCCTGCGGCTCTCGCATGCATGGAGTCTACCCTGCTCCAGGGCAGCGTGGGTCACTTCCTGTTGCTCTCCCCCACAGTTCATGCATGCAGACTTCCAGCTCACCACAGTGCCACACGTGCACTTACCATGGAAAGCATCACCTCCCCCCTGTTTGCCTGGAGAAGCCCAGGCTCTGAGAGCCTCATTACTAACAGAAGCAGGATTCCAGTCAGGACATCCCAGGACACCACCCCAGGCTCTCTACCCATCATTTCTTTGCTCACTGCTTCTTCTCTGGCAACTGGAAAGGCCTGGGACCACGAGACTTCCGGTGACCAGCCCTTGAGGGATGCCCGGGGCTTTCTAGTGTATTGAAGGAATGGAATCATGGCTGCAGGAATCTTGTCTTTCTGTTTGGATCAACGTCATCCCTTTCTGTATGTCATCCATTGTCACCTTCCTCTTTTAAGAACTGGCTTTTGATTGGGGTAGAGTCCCTGCCAGAGGAATTTGAGCAGGAAGGGACATTAGTCTAGGCCACAGTAGGATTTAGTTTGCAAAGGGATACCCATCTTTCCAATTCCAGCCCGCACCTGGTTCTTCCTGCCTCGGGACTCTGCATAGTGACACTCTCTCTCTTGGAGGTCATTCACTTCCTTGATTGAGTTTTCACTTCCTTGATTCCAAGATAGCGTCCAGCTCATGGCCAGATTCTTAGGTCGCTTACCCCCAAGGCTAGGATCAGGGTCGTTCCAGGACTTTCTTAAACCCTGCATGTTTCCTCTGTGGCCGGAGACATTCGTGGTGACATTCCCTCTCCTTTGTCCGGATGAGAAGCTGGCTCCCCCACTAGCCTATGAGTTCCATAAGGTCAATGGAGGCTGTGGAGACAAGGGGAGGCAGGAACTCTGAGTGAGGAGGTGTAGTGTGGAGGGAGCCTACCTCTCACCTTAGTTCTCTGCAGTATATGCTCATAAAGCAAACATTTACCTTCGGCTTCAGGCTAATGTGACAGTGTCCTAGGTCAGGGAGTGAGGGTCAGCCCTGCTGCTGACATTACGTCAGCTGGAGGAGGAAGGGTGAGTGACATCTAGCCTGTGCGGTCCCTCACGCTGGGCCAGCAGTTACTCACGTGCCTTTTCCTCACACAGGTTGAACACGCTCTGTCATTCAGTCTGTCTGGCCTGTGTGTCCACTCCCCATCCCCCATCCTGCCTCCTATTGCTTCCCTCCCCCCTTTCTGCTGATCCACAGGGGACACAATGACCATGGTTGGACAGGAACTGTTAAAGCTTCTCTCTACAAGTACTGAAACAAGCCCCTTAACTTAAGAAGTCTGTGCTTGTCTATGCTCACCCTTTCCTGGCTGGGCCTGCGCTCCGGTTGTCTGCACATAAGCCAAACTTCCATATGTCCATGCTTGGCATAAGGAGCCTCCAGCTCCAGGGATGGAGGGTGCTCGCTCATGGCACCTGCTTTGACAAGGGGCCCCATTTCTGAAAGCCCGTGACTTTCAGCGAAGCTTTTCTGACAGAGATGCTTAGACATCTAAGGTTCTATGTCTCCACACCATTTTGGGCATGTGCAAGGATCAGGGTCAGCGGCAGGTGAGGGGTTAGGGTGAGCTTTCATCAATAGGGCTGTACGCAGCTGCCCGCTACCACACCAGTGGCTTTAACAACAAACACGTATTGATAACAAGGGGTGAAATCTGAGATCAAGGTGTAGGGGTTGTTGAGGGGGGGAGTTCTCCTGAGGGTCTCTGCTTGGCTTGAGGTGGTGTCTTCTTCCTGCATGTGTTCAGTCTTCCTCTGCATGTGTCTCTTCTCATATGGCCACCAGTCAAATTATTTCACATCATCTGAGGGCACACCCTAAGGATTTCATTTCACTTAGTCTTATCTCCAAATACACCCACATTTGGGGGTACTAGGGGTTAGTACTTCAATGTATGAATAGCCTAGGGCTCTTCACAATGCAGTCTATGCTGAATGTCTTTGTACTCCCATGGGAGACGCCAGTGTTTGGACCATCATGTGAGAGAACATGAGGAGAAAGGGAGGCAGAAGGGCATGCTGAGAGAAAAAGGTGCCCTCTGAGGAGGTTAGCACAGCCCCTTTGCTGCTAGAGAGAAAAGGGTGCCCTCTGAGCTCAGTCCCTTCACTTCTGGAAGCTGGGGACAGGGCCTTGAGCCTGAGCCACAGGAGGACAGGAGGAGAAGGGTTCCGACTTTGCCTCCAGGATGGAATCTGGCCTCCCATGGGGCCTGGAGCACTTGGCTCATTCAGTCACTATAAATAATCCCCTCTTCATGTAGAGCTAATGGGGGGGGGGGCGGCTGGAGCCTAGGGTTCAGTCTGCTTTCATCCCACCCATGTTGTTTCCATTTCCTCTCTTCCCAGCCCCTCCGGCTCCAGCGGGGAGCCTTTGGGGGTGGGGCAGGCTGGCCTTGGGATCTGTAAGCCAGCTGTTGGATGTTGGTGCTCTCTCTTCTGTCCAGTTCTCAGCGGCTAATGGAATAGGGGTCAGCCAGGGGCCCCAGATGCTTCCTCATTCACCAGGGAACTCCAACATGAGGCCATCTGCACTTCAGATGAACCTCAGCCATCAGGAGGAAGTGCTGTCCATGTGGGCCAGGTGCCAGCCAGGTGGGCACGATGCACGCAAGGTGTGGGCCACTATCCTGGTTCACTGTGGTGGACCTCTGATGGCAATGGCACTGTCCCTGGGGAGGGCAGGGAGCATCCTATAGGACACTCCCAGACAGCGTGAGAGTATCGACCTAACCGAATCAGTGCAGAGTGACCCTCACCCTGTAAAGTGACACTAGACGTCCCCAAGCCTAGGGCGAGTCTTCTCAGATACCTGGTGATCTGCATTTTTCATGTTCCCTCATTGCTGGAAAGAAAGGTTGGATAGCACCCAGTGACTTTTCCCCTACCAAAGGCTGTCATGGTGTGGGGTGCTGAGTAATGCCCCCCGAATCTATATTATTCTAACCCCCCTTGCAAATGTTACCTTGCATGACAAAGGGAACTGATGGATACAACTGAGTTAAAGTTCATACATTATTCTGGAGGGTCCTGAGTTTAGCACTTGGCTGCTAAGAGGGGCAAAGGATATAAGACTGGTCCTCAGAACATAACTTTCCAAATGTTAAGTTATTTAAACTAGCCAAGAGCATGTCCACTGTGAGTTGAATGTGACTTATCCCCTCAGAAACTTGGGTGGGAATTTGATCCTCATTGTGAGATACTAAGAGAGGAAGCTTATAAGAGGTAGTTAGGACTCTATCCTCATGAATGGATGGATCATTCATTCATTTCATTCAACCAATGACTGTTATTATGAGGATGGCTATTTTGTGAAAGTGTTTGGTTAGGTCTCTTAAGCACCCCTGTCAGGACATATGATATCCTGTGCTAAGTTGGGGATTCTTCCAGCAAGTAGGCCACCTTCCATCCAGTCTATGGTAAGGTCTCTCAAGCAATTATGTCTTGACATGTGATTTCCTGTGCTACCCCGGGACCCTGAAGAAAGCTGTGATTTCGAACGGCCCTTAGGACATCTGCATGTGAGAAGGCCCCTCCCATGAGCTTCAGGGTGGTGTGGCTGTGTTGTATCACTCATGGCACACCACGGGAAGTGGTTCATGAAAAAGGCACCAGTGTTCAGCTTCTCTAGGTTCAAGTAGCCTGGATGCTCTGGTGGGTATTAGGGTGTTCCACTGAAGGTCAGTCAGCTCAGGAGTAGAACTGTAACTAGGTGTGGGCTACCCCTGGCTTGGTTTTAACTAAGAAATCAAAGGACAGGTTGTAGTGGACAGGGCTTGAAATTCTGCAGCATCTTTTGGGGTATTGGGAGAACCCCATCTCCCTCTGGTGCCAGAGACTCCTTCACTTTTTATTTTAGCTTGTGCACTTTCTGTTCTGAGACCACAGATCTTGAGTTCAAAGAAGCCACTGAGAATCCCGTGTCGTTCCAGCTCACTAGCACTAGTGTGGCCCTGCTTGACCATTATTGCCTAGAGACGGACTCTCTGAGACGAAGAACGTGAGCGAGACAGACAGATTCAGTCTCTGGTTGACAGGCCGTCACAGGTTGCATCTCTGGCCTGCCTTAAACAGCTATGGCCCCCAGCCCTGTCAACACTGATTGAAACATACCTTGGGGAGGTGAGGGGAGAAGATGGGGTGTGAACTGAGCTTTCAAGAGATTCTCCAAAGCCCTGACTCATATATGTAATCTGAATGTTAGTGGCAGATTAAAACATGTTTGAGAACATGTCTGTTCAGATGGCCAGTGTTTGACTCATCATGTGAAGGAGACCATCATCGATAAGAATGTGAATGCCCATGAGGCCCATAGAGGAGCCAGCCCTTTGGTCACAGTGAGACTGGGGAATGAATGTAGAGAGTATTGAAACTGTTGCTTCTCTGGCCTTCCAGAGTATCTAGATGCCAGCAGCACGCAGCATCTCCCTGGCAATGGGCAATGGCCTGGCTGCATGAAGTCAGGCTGTAGCCTTCATCCATCCTTTCTCCCCCTTCTCTTTTCATTTGCAGAGGTATGTGGTGCTCTCAACGTCACTGTGTCCCCAGGACCTGTGGTTGACTACTTGGAAGGGGAAAATGCCACTCTCCTCTGCCACGTCTCCCAGAAGAGACGGAAGGACAGCTTGCTGGCTGTGCGCTGGTTCTTTGCCCCCGATGGCTCCCAGGAGGCCTTGATGGTGAAGATGACCAAGCTTCGGGTAATTCAGTACTACGGGAACTTCAGCCGTACTGCCAACCAAAAGAGGCTGCGCCTGCTGGAGGAGCGCCGGGGGACACTATACAGGCTTTCTGTCCTGACACTCCGGCCAGCAGATCAGGGGCAGTATGTCTGCAAGGTACAAGAGATCAGTAAGCACAGGAACAAGTGGACGGCCTGGTCCAACGGCTCCTCAGCGACAGAGATGAGAGGTGAGAGTGTCACTGGCATGCCCGAGGAGGCGCAGTGTGTGGAGGTCAGGGGTCCCTGCAGTTCTCATTCTGTAAATGCTGGTTGGCTCATTGGCTCTGTTAGTATAGTACAAGTCTTGTGGCCTTGGCGGGCCACAGGCCTGTGAGTCAAGTCATGCAGAAGAGGACAGATCTGGGACACTGTGGCTGACATGGAGTGTAGGTGTGGAAGCAAGAATAGAGGCGTGGGTGACTACCTATGTGCACACCATGTCCTGCCTGAAATATTGGACTATGTGCGCTGTCAGGTAAAGAAAGTTGGACCCCACTTACAGTGGTCAGTTGTCTGGTAGAGTTCGGCCTGAACTGCGCTTACTCTGGACCTGTACTGAGACTTTGTGGTTCTGGGAGAGAAGGAGGGAGGTGGGAGAGGTGACTGTGTGGGACACAGTACCCTGAGTCAGGGGAGTATACAAGTTACAGAGAGCAATGGTCTTTGTGACTTTTCTTGGTGCGGTGACCAAATACCAGATAGAAATCATTTGCGGGGGGGGGGGGGGTTCATTATGGTTTATTGTTTTAGTGTTCAGGATGCAGCCGCTTGGCTCCATGCAGCGGGCCAGCTTGTCACGTAGTGGGAGGATGGGGTGGTGGAGGGCTCACATCACAGCCAACAGAAAGCCAAGGACATGATAGGGTGAGGCCGGGCATGGTAGACCTCCAGGGACCCACCTCCAGGGACCCACTTTCTCCAGCTGGGTTCTACTGCCCACAGTGTCTACTAGCTCCTCAATTAGCACCTGCAGCAGCTGGGGACCAAGCTTTCAATACTTAAGCCTATGGGGACACTTCAGATTCAAAGGGTGATGATATTGAAAAATAAGTGGGGTCTTTGGTCCATGTGGATGTGTCTAAGTATATAAGAAGCTTCCAGAAGCAGGATCCTTCCTTACCACGGAGGCTGGAAAATGAGGTATTTTCAGATATGATCAGGTAGGGATTGGTCATTGGAAACCTTGAGTTTTCTCAGGTGGGCACTGTATGGCAAGTGTGTTATTATAGACTCGTGGCCTTGAACTGTTAAGTAACTCTGTCTGTTCAACAGTTCCTAAGCCAAGGTTGAGCCTAGTTGAGAAAGGTCCCAAGGAATGAGACTAGACTTTAATTAGGAATGAAGCCTTTGTCAATGCCCAGCCCATTGTTCAGGGCTATGTCTCTGTGATCATCTTAACTAGGGGTGCCTGGTACCCCAAAATAGGTGCATGATGGGAGGGCCTGATATAAACTTCTAGCCCTGTAAATGGGGCAGCGTCATGTTCCTGATCCGCTGCCGGGCCTGGGTCTCAGCTAACTGTGAAGTCTGAAAGTCAGGGAGGGTGAAGGCCCCAGACTGGTCCTCCCTTCCCGCAGGCAGATAGGAGATGAATTTGCATTTTTCAAATATCTTGGTTGCCAAACACCACGTGGGAAGGCTGTCATTTTTATCTCCAGTGTTCAATGTTCTAATCACGAAGACACCCCCGGCAATTTTAATGCCTTTTTATTGTGACTCCAGTCGTGTCTCTGATAGTGTCAAGCTTGGATTTAATTCCACACAGGATCAAGAAGTTCACAGAGAAAAGCAGATTGTTGAAAATATGAGAGAGAGGCTAATTTTATCACACAATATGTCATATTAAAGCCTTTAAGCTACATTGTTTTGGTAAGCATTTTAAAATATGACTTTTTTTCATCTGTGATAGGTATTTTTACAGTCCTGTGTAATAAGGGACATGTTAAAGAGGTAATCCATGTGGGGGGTCTTTGAAGCAGCCACTTGTCTTTGGGGCTGGTGTTATGGTTTGTGGTTTGATGTATTTGCAAAAATGCTGTGTATGTTCCCTCCTTACGCAAATTAATTCAAGAAAACAAATGACTGCTAATACAAATATGTATTTTGGCAAAGAAAAAAAAATACAGTGGCCGAGGATGCAAACCACAAAGATGATCTCTTGGCTCTACAGCATGAGATCCGTTGTTTAAGAGTGTGTGTGTGTGTGTGTGTGTGTGTGTGTGTGTGTGTGTGTGTGTACTATATATGTCTATGTGTTCAATATATCCTGGAGTCATGTACCAAATTTCTTGGCGAATGCTACCAATTAGCATATGTAAAAAGGTCTACTGCCCTTAATTAAGCAATCATCCAGTTTATTATTTCATGTGAATCTGCATTAAGTGAATGAAGCTAAGCTCCTTCCAGAACATTTATTTGAAACCCTGCTTCAAAGATCAAGGTAGCTTGCCAGACTTCACCAGAGATAAGAATCTTTCTCCTTCCTCTCCCTGCTCACCTTCCTCCTCCCTCCATCTCTGATCTTCCCGTTTCTCCTCCTCGGCTCCCTTTCCCTTTGCTCATTTTCTTTTATGTGTTTCGTTGTTTAACTGAGTAATATTCCATTGTGTGTAGGTGCCACATTTTCACTCTCCAGATGTCAGTTTACGGACACAGGTTGATTCTATTCACCAGCTACTGTGGATAGAGCAGCAATGAAATGGCTGAGCCAGTGTCCTTCTGGTAGGATATAAAGACCTTTAGGTACGAGTGGTAGAGCCAGGTCAAATGGTAGATCTAGCTCTAGTTTTTTGAGAAACCTCCATACTGATTTCCAGAGTGGCTTCACTGCTTTGCACACCCACCAACACCATGCAGGCATCCCCTTTCCTCGTGTCCATGGGAGTATTGGCCTTCGTTTGTGCTCTTGGGGCATTCTGATTAGGTGCAACGGAGTCTTCAATGTGGATTGAATCTGTGTTTTCTTGATGGCTAAGGATAGTGAAGACATAAAAGTGTTTACTGACCATTGTGCCCCCCTTTTGAGAACTTTCTATTCGGCTCCACCATCCACTTTTCAGGGGTGTTGGTTTTTTTTTTTTTTTTGGTGTTTAGTTCTTTGAGTTCTTTGTGTAATCCAGACATGAATCCTCTCTGTATAGCTGCAAAAATTTTCTTCCATTCTGCTGGCTTTCTGTTCACTTAGTCACGGAGCAGTACTTTGTCATGGGAACCACCAGCCCTCAAATCATGACACAGAGACTTAATGATTAGTCATGAAAGCTCAGCCCTAGCTTAGACTTGTTCCTAATTAGTTCTTTTTATTTAAATTAACCCGTATTTTAAGATCTACATTCTGGCACATGGGTTTGTTACCGCATCTCCATACTGCACATTCTGCTTCCTCTGTGTCTGGCTGGCAGCTCTCTGCATGCCTAAATTCCTTCTTTTCCTTTTTATCCCTGGAAATCATATCTATTCTCTCTTGCCTGGCTATTGGCCGTTCAGGTTTTTATTACACCCATCACAGCAGCACCTCTTCACACAGTGTGCAAATATTCCACAGCATAGTTGACTCTTTATTTTCTTGGGCAGAAGCCCTTTAGTTTCCTGAGGTCCCATTTGTCAACAGTTAGTTTTAATTCTTGCACAACCAGACTCCTATCCACAAGGTCCTTATCTACACATATTCCCTACTTTTTTCTCTAATGGCCTTGGGTTATCAGGGCCTATACTGAGGTCCTTTATCCATTTGCAGGTGAGTTTTGTGCAGGGAGAGTGGTGAGGATGGACTTTTAGTTTTCTGTATGTTGAAGTCCTGGTTTCTCAGCACTGTTTGTTAAAGGCTCTGTCTTTCCCCTGGTGTATTGTTTGGTGTCTTTGTCAGAGATCAGGTAGCTGTAGTCACATAGAGTGTATTTGGCTCTTCTGTTCTATTCCAACAATCTGTGTCTGTTTTTTTGCCAGTACCATACTGTTTTCATTGCTTTGGCTCTGCATGTAACTGAAATCAGGCATGATGACACCTCCTTTTGTTCAGCATTGCTTTAGCTTGGTCTTTTGTGTTCCCACATACATTTCGAGATTATTTTTCGTATGTCTGTGAAGAAAGGTCCTGGTATTTTGATTGGAATTGCATTAAATCTAGTCTGTGGATTGCTTTTGGTAGTGTCTTAGTTCCTGCTCTATTGCTGTGAAGAGACCATGAACAAGGCAATTCTTATGAAAGAAAGCATTTAACTGGGGGCTTGCTTACAGTTTCAGAGGGTTAGTCCATGGTCATCATGGCAGGAGCAGACAGCTGTGGCAATGGAGCAGTAGGTGAGAGTTTTACAGCCTAATATCCAGGCAGTAAGTAGAGAGAGACACTGGGCCTTGGCATACACGGGCTCTTGAAACCTCAAAGCCCACTCCCAGTGACACACCTCCTCCAGCAAGACCACACTTCCTAATCTTCCCCAAAGAGTTCCACTAACTGGTGACTAAATATTCAAATATATGAGCCTATGGGGGCCATACTCATTCAAACCACCACAAGTAGGGTGGCCAGGCCTGTAGCACACAAATTCTTGGAGGGAAAACTCATAACCATAGGCACAATTTATCCAATTGCTATGGAGTTGTTCTTATCCAGGAGCCCTGTGTTCCCTTGTCTATTCCAGTTTTTTAAGTACCTTATGAAAATATATCCACACATGATTCCTGAAATTTTTCTTGTGTTTATTTCTCAGTATTTCATCGTTGTAACTAAAATCTAGCCCTCCCTCCCATGCCTGCGCACAGTTTGGGATTGGTTGTTGCTGACGAGTATGACTTTTGTTGACTTGGTTTTGGCACTGCACGGGGTCCTGTGTACTTGGATGTGGCCTTTTCAGTTGCTTATCAGTGTGTCTGTGACTTTATATGTCATTATTTTTTTTCTTTTGATCCATGTCCCGGTGGCCAGTACTTTAAAACCATTTACCTGCATTCTTTTTGTATGATTCTACCATGAATTTAACTTCTCTGTTGGGGTTTCTGTCCTAATCACATTTTCTATTAGAGGCTGTTAGAGACTCAGTTGCCTTAGTAAAAAAATGCTGGATTTGAGATATCTGTGGTCCCTGCTAATCAACTCACCGGAAAGGTCATTGGGTTGTCTTGGAGAACTTTTCCCTTTGGAGTTTCTAAAGCCCCCGTTTAGACATCCCTCAGTAAGTCTGTCAGAGAG